CACCCAGGCACCCCTGATATGTTCTCTTTCAGTCCTATTCTCCACTACAGTTTGTATCTCTCCTCTCTGTGTCCTTTCTGTAAAAAAAGACAGAAGCTGGCATATGGGCACTCAGTCCAGACACAAGCCCTGGTTTGAGTCATTTCACCCTAGAGCTACCCTCTGTGGTTTTGTCGCTCCTTATATACACACGAGGAAACTCCTGAGACTTGACAACTTGCTCCATACTGCACAGCTAGAAAGAAGTGGAATGGGAGCAAGCTAAGGGCAGCGTGACCCCCAAACCCATTCCTCCCTGTCTCTATCAAGCAGCTGCCGAGAAAGACAGATGTTCCACGTCATTTGAGGAGCCATCTGATCTGACTTCTGTGATAACGTGCTGTCCTACCACTGGGTCTGTCTCTGGACCCCAGGTTCTATTGAGAGGGACCCTGGAGAGCATCTGATCTGTGCCCAGAGGGGCAGTTCTAGTGTACGTCTCTGATTAAGCAAGTTCTGCTTCCCTGAGCCCCAATTTCCTCATCTGTAAAACAGGGGTTGGTTTAGATGAGTGGTTCACAAACCACCGGTCTCAGACCCCTTTACATTCCTAAAAATGACCGATGATACAAAGAGCTGTTTATGTGAGTTTTATCAATATTTACCAATTCATTGACTTTGAAGCTTACTTATTTTGAGAGAAGACAAGGGAGGGGCAGTGAGAGAGGGAGAGAGAATCCCACGTAGGCTCCACACTGTCAGCACAGAGCCCGACACGGGGCTCACAGCCATCAGACCATGACCTGAGCCGAAATCAAGAGTCCGACGCCTAACCGACTGAGCCACGTGGGCAGCCCAATATTTACCATTTTAAAAATTAATACCAGTTTTTAATAACAAGTTCCCAAAACAAAAGGAAACTCGGTGATCGGTGTTACTGCCTGGCAGTTCTGCAAATCTCTCTAATGTCAAGCTCGCTACAGTTTAAGACCGCCGGATTCTCTCATTTGCTTCTACATGTAACCTCTTCCAGATCGCATGTCACAGAGCCTCTGGAAGACGCCACTAGACACTCGTAAGAGAATGAAGATGAAAAAGACAAATCCGATCCTACTGGTGCTATGGAGAAAGGTTTTGTCCCCACTTCTCCCTGAAAGGGTATGAGGGACCTCCAGGGGTCCTAGACCACCCTTTGAGAACCGTTTCAAAAGGTGGCCCGTGCGCCACCTGCAGTCAGAACCCACTGGAGGGATAAAATGCACACTGCCCTGCGTCCCCCAGGTCTGTGGTATCCGAATTCACATTTAACAAGCCGCCTCGCACACTGGAGGGTGGAGACACTCGGTCGGGAGAGCCCCACGATTCCTACCAGCCTGGTTCCTCCAAAACTACTGTCACCTGTTTGGGCAGGGCCGGGGCTCAGGCCGCGCAGGGCTTTTGCCTCAACGGTGACCAGTGACGGAAGGTCTGCCCTCCCTGGTTTTGCTTGGCTCCGCCATTTCCATAGTCACTTCCTTCCCCCTTTAGGGAAGTGTTGAGGGCAGCCAGGCACCTTGCTTGTAGCTGTAAGATAAATTCTGGGCTTTCTTGGCTGAAATTAAAAACACAAGAAACAACAGGTGTTGGTGAGGAAGTGGAGAAAGGGGAACCCTGGTGCCCCGTGGCGGGAATGCTAACCGGTGCGGCCGCAGTGGAAAACAGTATGGAGGTTCCTCAAAAAATTAAAAATAGAACTACCCTATGATCCAGTAATTCCACTTCTGGGTATTTACCCCAAGAATAAGAAAACGCTAATTCGGAAAGATAGAGGCACCCCTCTGTTTATTGCGGCGTGATCTACAATGGCCAAATTACAGAAGCCTCCCTAATGTCCGTCGACTGACGAATGGATAAAGGAGTGGTATATATACACTGGAATACTATTGAGCCAGAAACAAGAATGAAATCTTCCCGTTTGCAACATGGATGGAACTAGAGTGTATTATGCTAAGTGAAAGAAGTTAAGTCCGAGAAAGACAAATACCACAGGATTTTACTCGTACGTGGAATTCAACAAACAAAGAAAAACAGAGACTTCACCACAGAGAACAAACTGATGGTTAGCAGAGGGGAAGTGGGGGTGGGGATGGGTGAAATAGACTAGGAGAGTAGTAGGCTTACTGTGGGGCACCTGGCTGGCTCAGTCGGTAGAACATGCGACTCTTGATCTTGGGGTCATGAATTTGAGCGTCACTTTGCAGGTAGAGATTTTCTTTTAATGTTTATTTTATTTTTGAGAGAGAGAGAGAGAGAGAGAGAGCGTGAGCAGGGGAGGGAAAGAGAGAGAAGGAGGCACAGAATCTGAAGCAGGCTCCAGGCTCCCAGCTGTCAGCACAGAGCCCGACGCGGGGCTCGAACCCACGAACTGTGAGATCATGACCTGAGTCGAAGTTGGACGCTTAACTGATTATTGTTTTTTTTTTAAAGGGTACATTTATTGTGATGAGCACTGAGTAATGTACCAAATTGTTGAATCACTACATTGTATACCTGAAACTATTAACAACAAAGTGTGTTAACTGTACTGGAGGTTTTTTTTAATTACTAATGTTGAACCAAAAACTAAAATAAACTCTGGGCTTGCCTACAGTTGTCTATTTCTGTACCCAGGAAAAGCAAGAAGGAAAGAAGGAAAAGGCCTCATGGGACAGGGACTTCTCTTCCTCAGGAGGAAGTGCTGTTCTAACCTTGGCCCCACCTGGACATTGTACAGTGAGTCAACCTCAGAATCCATGAACACCTCGCTCAAGGGAGAGTATACAAAAGAAAATTAGCCTTTTTGGGCGTGTAAGCCCTGACTGGTACAAAACAGGCAAATATGGAAGCGACTCAAGAAAAAGAACAAATTCATAGAAAGAATGCCTTTAGTGAAGAAAACCATACACATAAATATTTACATAGAAGATAAAGTAGATCGTGAGTTTTAAAATTTTCGGAGATTCCATTGCATTCAAAAATACTGCTACTGTGATTTATTCATACCCAACTTCCAACAGGAAAAAAAACTACCATAGTGGGTGGGACACAAGCTCGCATGGAAATTATTGTACCTGTCGAAATCTGTATTACAAAGTAACCTGTGCACTTGGTGTGATGGAACTAGCCTTGGCCTTGAATCAGTCACAACTGGGTCACTAACTACCCACTAACCAGCTGTGTGACTTTTCTATCGGGTGAGCACTTACTATGTGCAAGGTACACGTTAGATGACATGAAGGATTCATGGAAACACAAAAAATCTTAAATGTGCTGGAGGCGCCAAGCCTGGTTCAGCAGCATCTGCTGTAGGAGGCGGGAGGGTTCAGTGCTGGGAGAGGAAGATGCCTGGAGCACCCGGGCACTTCTGAGAAGGCCTGCGGGGCACCTCCAGCTCCTCAGCGGGTTCGGGAAGTTCAACGACGCGACCTCCATCACCCCCGCAACAAGTTCGTTCCCAGCCTGCTCTGCGCCCGCTGCTTTTCCTGCAACTGGGGCTGCGCGCTCACCGCGCAGGGTCGTGGGTGGGGTCCCACATTTCCTGGCACCCGTTACTCCCACAGGCCGCAACGAGCCTCGGTCCCCGACGGGGTTGAACCCCACAGTGCGCGGCCGCGATGGGAGGGGCGAGGGGCACTCGGACAACAGGCGTCCGAGTGCCTGGGACCCTGGAATGCACGGCCCGACGTGAGCCGCCACCCTTCCCACCGAGCGGAGCCCCGGCCCCGAGCGTCCTCTGCTCGGGTCCGGGTGGGGC